CCACAGAATCGGAAGCAGGCTCCAGGCTCTGAGCTGTCAGCACAGCCCGATATGGGGCTTGAACCCATGGACTGTGAGATCATGACCCAAGCTGAAGTCGGACGCTTAACCAACTGAGCCACCCAGGCGCCCCTCATTGGTTATTCTTAACCCAAAACTCAATATTCTGTGATTTGGAATAAGTGGTTTAAGCTCTCCAAACTACAATTTTCTCACCTATTACAATGGAATAACAATACCTATCTCTTGAATTCTGCCCTTTAGGTATAATAATGTCAGATGAAGTAAGTACACAATAAATGTGATCATTATTAGTTATTTTGACGTTGATTGTGGTTATGCCTTTGTACCAAGCAGAGTGCTTAGCATATTGTAAATGGTTAATATATATATATGGAAATGATGAATACGGTATGATGTTTAAAATAAAAAATGAAATCTTGTATTTTTAATTTTTATCAATAAAATCATATTATTATAATAAAAGGACTCCTCATACAATGGAAAATTTGGTATATAAATAATTAATAGGTTGGTACTATCATAGATTCATTCAGTACATATTTCATGAAATACTTTCTACATATCAGGCAATGCTCTAGACACCGAGCATTCAGTGGTGAGCAAAAGAGAATAAATAAGTCCCTGCCCATATGGATTTTACGTTCCATGGGGAAGACATAATATGAGCAAATAAGCAAGTATATAACAGTTATTGGTGGTAAGTGTTGTGAGGAAAGAGCAATATAAGGGATAAGAGGCCAGTAGGGTCTTCAGGAAGTGACAAGATGCACTCCTCTATGATGCTACCTGGTGTCTTGTACAATAAGGAGAAACATTCCATAATAATGAAGTTGATTTTTGAAGATAAGTAGGAGCTCATGATGAAAAGTGAGGAGCATACCATCTGAGGGGCTAGGATAAAGGCAACTAGTTATGAGAGGTTATGGATTTTTTAGATAATGACACATAATAATTCAAAGTTTACTGAGCTACATGTCTGGTGGAAAGTTCTATGGTCCATTTTCTTTTGAAAATTGATTTTTAACTGACTTGTCTTAGATTTCTTTCTACTGCAGCACATTGAGAGCTGCATTGTTTTCCTCATATTAGCATTATGCGCCATCCCAAGATCCAATAGGGAGCCATTTTAATTAAAGGCTTTTAATAGAGAGACTCAAGGGTGAAGGGAGGCTTTGCATCTCGGAAACCCATAGATGAGAAGGTTTAGCCATGGTCCAAGGGACAAATGATGACTATGTACTTTAGAAAATAGGTAAAATGAAATATGTATATTAAGGAGGTAGCCCAAAAGTTACCAATCACTTGCAAAGATGAGAGAGGAGACATGGGAAGCCTCCACAAATTCTGACTTGAGTATCTGTCTGGATCATGGTACCACTACCAGCCAACTGGACAATAAAATCCAGAAAGCTCCCATAGCCCATAGCAAGGTGCTTGGCAGACACATAACCTACAATATATCCCTACTAAGCTTCAGAATCTCCAAGTTCATAGCTAAAGCCATAGTTAGATCCATAGCTTCACCTTAGTCCACATTTTGTAGACCAGCAATTATATTTGTTGAATATATATATATGTATGTATATACATATATATATATATATATATAAAAGAGCTTTTATTCAGACTTAGACTTAAAAAATTGATCAGGTATACTGAATATTTATTGTACTCACAAATATGATGAAATATTTCCTAAACTGCCTTTTCATATTAATAGAGAATTTCTTATTGATTAGAGAGATTTTATATTGATTTTTAATCATTAGATTGCCTATGACAAATTTGAAGTCAGCAATGAGATGTGATTATGATTATTATGTCTCTGAAAATTTTTTCAGTGGAGGCAAGAAATTTTTTAGAGTTTTTATTTATTTTTTTTTTGAGAGAGAGAGAGAGAGAGAGAGAGACATGGGGAGGGACAGAGAATCCCAAGCAGGCTTTGCACTGCCAGTACAGAGCCAGATGTGGGGCTCAAACTCACAAACTGTGAGATCATGACCTGAGCTGAAACCAAGAGTCAGATGCTTAACCAACTGAGCCACCCAGGTGGCCCTGTGGGTGAGAAATTCTACTGATTGCATCCATGCTTCAAGAATCATTCTCTTTTTTAACGTTAATCCTCCATCCTAAATTACGTGATCTCCATTCACTAGCACACAAGGGGTACCCCTAATACTATCATGTCTTCTTCAAAATGAAGACCTTTACCTTTAATCACGATATTTTACCCCTACTTACATCCAGAAGAATGTATGTTCTAACATCTTATTGATACAAGAGATATAAACAAAATTTCTCTCACCAGAATTATTTACTGACAGCAATTTAGAAATGTGTCTCATGTTCCCGGCTTCCAAGTCCTTAACAATTTAACTAAGAACATCAACATAGCTTTTGCAATATGCTTCTAAAAGCCATGACATTCAGGAAAATCACTAATTATGTTTGGCCACAAATCAAATTTAATAGCATCTGGACAGTTCAGATCAAAAACCAAGATGACCTTCAAATAAGAACAACATTTAAGTCTAATATGTATGGTATACAAGGTCATACTTAGTACAGTGGGCTGTCTGTCCAGAAGCAATTATGTTGAGCAATCGCATATTCTGTATTCCAAGTAATGGCTCTTTAAAAGACCTATAATTTTTTATATATGTTTATCAGGGCAAACTTTATATATACTTACACCCGGTATAGAGCACATGTAAACGTGCAAACTAGTTTGCATATTGTTACATTATAGACAATGGAAAATGGAAAATCCAAGTTGTAAATCATATAGTATAATAACTACAGTTATCATTACTATTAATCTACAGGGATCATTCCACTTTACTTTTTTTGTTAGTGCATAAACTAATTACCTGAAGAATTCTTCTATTTTATCCTGGGGATTTAGAACACACTGAGCTTTATCTGTGAGCTTACTAAGCTTTATGCATCACTAGCAAGATTGAATGCATGCAGACGGAATTTGCAGGAGATCTTTTGAATTGACACCTTCTAGTTTAATAGCACTTGGACAGGCATTCACTCTGGTTCTTATATCATCCTCACAAAAATAAATAAGGCAAATTCTATGTAAGTCACTGGACCCTGACCCATGGATTCTTCTCTTTCACTTTTTTTCTCTTCCCTTGTTTGGTTTTCTGATTTAAAATCTAAACTGCAAAGTAGGTAAAAAGGTAACAGTTTTTTTTGTGGGAAATTGTTCTTACAGTAATGCATTTCCTTTTAGTTTATAGAAAGATAAAAAGAATTTCTCAAGACAGAAGTTGTAGGGGTCCAAGTATGAATTTCAGTGGATTCAGACATGTCTGGTCATGTCAGACAAACTGGTGAAACAAGCTATTCTGGCCACTTAAAAGTTGGCTCAGAAACCTTTTATAAGAGAATTCAATCCTTGCTCACTGCTGATGTTCCAAGAGACTTGTTCCAAGGGGTGAATTGGTGGGTCAAGCCTAAAAGAAAGTTCCTCATGAGTAACTGAGGAATTTGGGGGAGAGAATACATTACAAAGAAAGAAAGAGCCAGGCTGTTTGGCCTTGACTGAGCCATGTACCCAGAGATGCCATCCATGAGACAGGCCAGTCAGTAAGGCATCCAGTCGCATGACTAAGTTGTGTAACATTGTTCATTTGTGAGAAGATCTATAGAATATTAAGACACTTGTAATAGAGTATAAAAAGAAGTCAGAAAAGAACCCCCCATATACCCTTATTTTCTGTAGAACACTTTCCAGTGCCCCATGGCAGTGCTAGGTGGATCAGCCTTAGAAGAGACAAGAGTCTTCAGTAGATGCCAACTATAAAAGGATAACTCCTGCCCGGAAAATGACACTCAAAGACAAAGTTTGTAAGAAAGCAAAGGCATGTCTGGCCAGACCAGCGATATCTAGAAGATATTCAGCAAGGGAAGGGATGGGAAGGAGGACCATAGAAGATAATTCAGGGATTAAGAAGTGCACCTATTATGTTATTCAGGGATTGAGGCATGCACCTTAATCATACTTGGTATGACATGATGATGGACTCATGTCATTGTATATTTGTCCAAACCCACAGAATGTACTATACTGAGAATGAACACTACAGTATGGGCTGGGTGATGAAAATGTGTCAATGTAGGTTTATCCATTATAAACAAAGTACCACCCTAGTAGGGCATATCGATATTGAGAGATCCTGTGCAAGTCTGGGAGCAGAAGCTATGCAGAAAACCTGAGTACCTTCCTCTTGATTATGTGGTGAAACTAATAAAAGGCCTTAAAGAAGAAGAAGAAGGAGGAGGAGAAGGAGAAGGAGAAAGTATTTAGCTAGTAGCAATGTCAAACAGAAGAATGCACTTGTTTATAAATATGAGAATGACACAATCCTTAACAGTTCCAGGAACACTTGAAGGACATTTGAGAGGACTGATATATACTAAGAGAACAGACCAGGCAAGTTATATTTATTAGCTGTTAGTATTACTCCCGATGTGTTCTCAAGCTTGTATAATGTGGTGAACGAGATATTTTTGCATCATATTATATTAATAGCCACAGACCTTACTGCTTCACAAGTAAAAGTTTTATACGAGTTGCAAAAGAAGATGTTAAAATAATAAAATTAAAGCATCAAACAAAACCAAAGTATTTATATTTTGAGTTATCATTTTATTAGACACAAGCAAAATACAAAGTTTCTTCAAGAAATGCCAAGATCTTCTAGAAAGATAACATCACTGGTAATCGTAAACCAACATGAAGAGATCAAATAAAGGCAGTTTTACATATTGAATATACATTTTAGATGAGGGGTTTTGGGTGTAAAAAGACATCAAATATTTATAGAAGTAATTTGACCATTGACAAATAGCTATCACTTGGTCCTGGAGAATATAGAATAGACGGTTTGGAAATCAAAGCACAAAAATAAGACCAAATACATTCGGAGGCTTTCCCTTTGCTTCCAAGTTTAACAATATTTTTAGTAGAAGCCAGAGAACCCAAATCCCCCATAGCATAGTGGGCGGCAGCAGCCATATCTGAGGCCCCCCCAGCCCCAGCCACATCCGGGTCTCTGGAAGCTGCCACAGCCACAGCCCAGGCCACTGAAGCCTCCACAGCCACAGCCCAGGCCACCATAGTAGTTGCCGTAGTAGCTCATGGTGAGACAGTGGTAAACTGGTTTGGCGTTCAAGGCAAGATTCCGAGTGTGAATGTCGACATCTTTATAAGGAGGCTTATATACTCCGGCTAGAGAACATGACCCAACATGTGCCCCTCCTTTGGTGACATTCCATGAATTGTATTTGCCTGAGACAACGCATTACTCTATGGTCCCCTGACCACACTCATAAGAATGTCTGAACCTGCTTGGTTATGTACTTAGATTGTTTCGGAGCTTGCTGCTATAATTTTCTTAGAATGAATTGCTGTTTCTTCAAAGCATGGACATACCACATCCCACATAGAATACTCGATTGACAGTCACTTAACATCAACTACGTTAAATATTGTTGAATTTCTAATTAAATATCTTCTCACCAGAGGGTTGTAATCAGCTTTATAAAAATAGCAAAAAATAATAAAATCAAGACTCTTACGTTTATCAATTTCTTCAAAAGTCACATATATTTTGCATTCCGAGGAGCAAATTCTTTCTTGAGAATATGAAAGAATACATTAAGTCAAGCAAGATTCACCGCCACATGTACGAGAAAAGAGCAATCACAAAAGCTCACCTGATTTCTAGAGTGTTAAAACTTTGGGAAGGTAAGTTAATAGATTTATTTTTGGTTTTATATGCCAGCATACTTGTTTGGGTTTAAAGACACAGCAGAATTGAAATCAATACTGGAACAACCAACACAGTGATCAAAAATCCATCTTGAGGGATGCCTTCCCACAGTACTTTTTTTCTTTTAATTTTTTTACATTTATTTATTATTGAGAGACAGAGAGAGACAGAGCCCGAGTGGGGGAGGGGCAGGGAGAGAAGGAGACACCAATCCAAAGCGGGGTCCAGGCTCTGAGCTGTCAGCACAGAACCCCATGAGGAGCTGAACTCGCAAACCACAAAATGATGACCTGAGCCAAAGTCAGTCACTCAACCGACTGAGCCACCCAGGTGCCCCTCGGTACATTTTTTTTTTTTTTTTTAATGTCCTGGGCCCTTTTTCCAGAATACATTCTAGTCTCACTGCTACCACATATGCAGATTGTATTTGCCTCCCTACACCCACCCCCACCTTCCTCTGCCCTTCATTATTTATCCATGTACCTTATATCTTTTTCAAATCTCGCTTCAAACATCACTCAACTTCCTTCCTTCATGGTTCGGTACTGCATCCAAGTACAAGTGAGAAATGGGAAAAACGGTTTGACCTCTAAATTCTATATTCAGATGAACACAGCATCTTTCTATCTAGGTCTCCATAATCAATGTAATACATTTGCCTATGTCTTCTCTTTGCCTAGTCTGTGTCCATTTTTTGTGTTTTGGCAATTGCTAACTTGTCTTTCCTAAGATATCAGCGAGAGCTTTCTAGCTATTGATAATGTTGTTAAAACCCCTAAAGTCATCTTAAATTTCAAAAGCACTTGTATAACCTGGAATATTTAAGAAATTTTCTACATGTGTGTCATAATTATAAACAAAGCCAAGAAATTAAGGAAGCATTCTTTGCAGACAATAGGCCTATATTCAGAGTCCCTCACCTCAGCCCAGAGAGTTAGTTACTAATAACTAAAGCAATATGCAAATGTGTCCATACCTTGACCCTTGGGACTCAAGAAACTCGTTTTATATGATAAAAACCATTTTGGGGCACCTAGGTGGCTCAGTCGATTAAGCATGCGACTTCAGCTCAGGTCGTGATCTCATGGTTTGTGGGTTCGAGCCCCACGTCGGGCTCTGTGCTGACAGCTAGCTCAGAGCCTGGAGCCAGTTTCAGATTCTGTGTCTCTCACTCTGACCCTCTCCTGCTCACGCTATCTCTCTCTCTTTCAGAAATAAATAAAATACTAAAATAAATTAAAAAAAACATTTTTGCTGAGCCGTTGCTGAGATTCATAAGTAATATTTGGACACATTTTTGGATGGGGCTGTTCACTGTCCTGACTTAGTATCTAAACCAAACCTAGCACTTAGGTGGCACTTAATATTTTTTAAGAGAGTTATATGACTTTCACTGACATTAAACCGAGGACCATTCATATCATAACCTGAGCAACTGATTTGCCATTCTAGGAAATATTTTAAGGCTGACCCAAGCTGCAACAGGCTTTCTGGCTTCAGAGTGGCATTAAACCCAATATTAGCCTTTAATCTTCGTACCATTCTAAACCTATTGCATTCCATTATTATTCCTCATTTCAGAGATCAGCCAATTTATACAATGAATATTTTCATTTTTAATGACTATTTAGAAGTATGAATAAATTGCATAATATCAAGGATTCCACAGTCTCTTTACATATCTCTGTCAGAGAATGTGACAATTATTAAAGACTTAAAAATTTTTTTAATGTCTAACACAATCTGTACTTTATAGTTGGAAATAATATGGGACACAAATGCAAAACTTCAGTAATAATAAATACTAAATGTGTTTTTAAGGAAGAAAACACATGACTATGGTATGCATCACTTATAAATGTCCATTCACTATAAAAATATTTGAAGTTTATGGAATAAATCTGTTTTTCCCCATAGACACAAGTGAAAGTTTTACATTGGAAATTTCTTTAGGGGTTATTATTTTTCAGTAGCTCAAAGGCAGGTGTGTATCATTATTAATTTTTAAAAAGTTTTAACTCATGACCCAAGTTGCTCTTCATGTTGGTGGATGGAAGAGAGAAAAATGTTCTCATATTTTCCCTGGAAGTGAAGAAGTCTTTTGTTACACATTTCAAACATGTTTTTTCTCACCTCAGATGCAGACCCATACAATCTAAGCAGAACAAAATTATGATAATATTGATTATACTAAGAATGTCAACTACAGTAATAACTGTATTGATTACTGCTTGTCAGCCCCATGGCACCTGTCCCTGGAGATATTAGCCAAATGGAAAGGTAATAGAAATTCTGCCTACTGGGTCCAGCTACACAGTATAATCCTTCAACAGAGTAAGTAACTTGGCTCTATTCCCCTGCTCAGCCCACTGCGATGCTATATACAACCCCTAGACAGTATTGACTAAAAAAAGAGGTCATCATGGATTTTTATATTTGTTGTTTTTGTTTTGTTTTGTTACTTAGAGTTGAATTTTTAACATTGCTCATGACAGGTGCAATTCTCTATATCAGAACAATAAAAATGTTGAAGAAGCAAGTGTTAATCTTAATAAAGGGATCAAGCTCCATAAAATCAGTTGTGATAATTTAGGTTTTCTTATAATCATTCCCAGAGCTTTCAAAATGGTTCACTTGACAACATTCAAGGAGAAAATATGTAAAGAGAGAAGCAGTGTGGTCTAATCGAATAGCTAGGACTGAGGATAGCAGAGTTCTGATTCTAGTCTTAAAATCTCTTATCCTGAGGTTCCCTGCAGCCAAGACTATGGGGAAGCATTACAGAGTTGAATGTCCCTTTCAGATCTTTAATTCTGTGATTTTATTTTGTCCTTTTTCAAACTACATTGGCCCAGCTCATTCCAAGTATCATACCATTACCTGAAGTTGCCATTCAGTTTTATGAAAACAATTTAGAAATTCTGATATTTTACCTATTTTATTCCCATTTCATACACAGTAGTCCCCCGCCCTCCATTCACAGGGGATATGCTCCAAGATTCTCAATGGATGCCTGAAACTGCAGATAGTACCAAACCCTCTAGGTGCCATGTTTTCTCCTATACATGCAACCCTGTGATAAAGTTTAATTTACAAATTAGGCACAGAAGAGATTAACAGTAATAACTAATAGTTAAATAGAACAACTCTAACAAGATACTATAATAAACGTTATGCGAATGCAATCTTTCTCTCTCAAAATACCTTATCGTACTCATCTTTCTTGAGATAATACAATGCTGACATGTTGAGATGTTGTGAGGGGGTTGACGTAGGCACTGTGATACAGCCTTAGGCTGCTTTTGACCTTCTGACAATACGCATGAAGGTCCTGACTGTGGTTGATCATGAGTAACTAAAACCACAGAATATAAAGCTGCAGATAAGGGGAATACTATTGTCCTATCAATAAAATGGTCATTTTTAATGAGTTGATGTTTTGCTAAAAATAATCATTGGGGCACCTGGTGGCTCACTCGGTTAAGCATCCAACTTTAGCTTAGGTCATGATCTCACAGTTTGAGCCTCGCATCGGGCTCTGTGCTGACAGCTCGAAGTCTGGAGCCTGCTTTGGATTCTGTGTCTCCCTTTCTCTCTGTCCCTCCTCAGCTCATGTTCTCTCTCTCTTCCCCACCCCAAAATAAATAAACCTTAAAAATTTTTTTAAATCATATTTGCATATTTTTTAAATTATCAAATGGTACTTCTGGTCAGTTGAAGCTACACGTTGCTTTGCTTCATGGTGATGCTTCTGCTTGTATATTGTTCTGACTGGATTACAAATAGTTCAGTATAAAGATGATGATGATAAACAGTGTCCCCGTAAGAAGACAAGCGAGATGATGGAGTTGAATGACCCAAGTTCATGTTTTATTAATTCAGTTTATCAATAACTTTTATATCTGTCTTATTTTGCATGCATATCAAAATAGATGAAAGCAGACTCTGAATAAAGATAATATAATTTCGAAGATTCATAGAAGCACAGAACTTACTGTCTCTGAAAATTTAGCAATATGGATTATGAGATTTGTGGAAAGAAAGTTTGCACTGATTGCAGTTTTAATGATATGGGTGTCTAGCAACTATATATATATATATATATATATATATATATATATATATATATGACGACACTTGGTTTTATAAAATAAAGTAGAGACAATAGACGTGAAAGATTACTTGCAAATTTTGAACTCCATTAAGAAATAGAAACAGTTAGGGGTGTCTGAGTGGCTCAGTTGATTAAGCATCTGACTTCAGCTCAGGTCATGATCTCATGGTTCATGAGTTTGAGCCCTGGTCAGGCTCTTGTGTTGATTGCTCAGAGCCTGGAACCAGCTTCAGACTCTGTGACTCCCTCTCTC